ATTAAAAAGATTATGTTTTTTTAAATTGATTTCAGAGAGGAAGGGAGAGGGAGATAGAAACATCAATGATGAGAAAGAATCATTGATCTGCTACCTCCTGTTCTCCCTGCACTGGGGCCCGAGCCCACAACCCTGGCATATACCCTGACCAGGAATCAAACTGTGACCTCTTTGTTCTTGGATTGGTGCTCAACCACTGAGCCACACCAGCCAGACTCTTTGTTTCTTAGTACTGGGAAAAAAGACTTCAATTGAAATTATAGTTTACCACTTTTCCCCCCCTTAAGGATTAGTAGTACTTTTGAAGAGAAAAAGTAAAAGAAGAAATTTATATGAATGATTTTCCTGAGTAGCAGTATTTGGCAAGTCCAGAGCTCAAGGAAAGCTGCTTGGTGACTTCCCCAGAAGGCTATTCTTTCAGGCCTTCAAATAAGTAATAGTTGTTTCAATTTATTAGCACATAGAATGAACTTTGCTTTAAAAAAAAAATTTTTTTTTTTAATTTATTGGGGTGACATCCTATATAATAAAACCATTAATATGCAAATCGACCGAACAGCAGAACGACTAGTCGCTATGATGTGCTGACCACCAGGGGGCAGATTCTCAACTCAGGAGCTGCCCCCTGGTGGTCAGTGGGCTCCCACAGGGGGAGTGCTGCTCAGCCAGAAGCCAGGCTCACAGCTGGAGAGTGCAGCGGCGGTGGTGGGGAGCCTCTGCAGGTGGGGGCGGTAAGGAGCGAGGGGCCCCAGACTGCCAGAGGGATGTCCAGGCAGATAACCCCACGAGATCTGGGACTGCGGGGGCGGTGCAGGCCAGGCTGAGGGACCCCTCCAGTGCACAAAGCTTCGTGCACCGGGTCTCTAGTTGGTTAATCAAATTATATAGGTTTCAGGTGTACATTCCTATAATTTACTACCTCTGTTTTGAATTGTGTGTCCACCACCCCAAGTCAGGTGTCCTTCCCTCGCTATTTACCAGTGATGAGAGAGAATCCCTTGTACCCTGTTCTTTCTCCCCCACCCCACGTTTCCGCTTGTAACTACCGTGCTGTTGAACTTCATATTCAGGTCTCAAACCTATTGAGGCAAAAGAATAAGGCAGGGGATCTTTTTCTCCAGGTGCAAAGGTGCCGAGTACACTCCGATAATATCCATGCAGGGTCTTCCTTCATCAGCCTTGTGGTTCCTGCTGCGTGGGGTGTACCACCACAGTACATTCCCGCACAGGCGGAGATTAACCTTTTCTTAATGCCATTATGTGTGAGGAGTACAATTCCGTCTGTTTGCTTCCACTGAATAAAGCGACTAGAGAACACAGGATACTTGCTCAAAATGTCTCTTTAAAAAAAGCTGCTAAAAAAACAAACAAACATACTGCTCTTGGACTCTTCATAAAAATGACTTAACATGATTGTCTTTCTAGTGAGAATTCCTTGAGCAATTGTGACTCGCTTTATATAGAGAGCATTTTTTTTTTTTAAAAAGTGATTTTTTTTTTTAAGCTTTATTACTATTTGTCTTTTAGCCATAGCAGTTGATAGGAGTCATATTCTCTCTCCCTAAAGCAAGCACACACACAAAAAAATGTTTTTTTAAAAATTCTCATTGTTATTACCTTTTCAATAGGTAAGGAAAAAATTGATTTGCCCTGATTTATTTCCTTATATCCAGATTTTAAATCTGTGCAAAGTTTACTAGTAAATAGCTCCTGTCTCTCCAGTTACCAGATGAATTTGTGGAACACTGAGTTTCTTTAATTTTTAGAAACCTGCTTTTTATTGGAACTACTTTGATTTTATATGATTCATAGCTAGGAAAATGGAGACCCCCCTAATTTCAAGAAAATACAGTGGCATTTAGTCTTCATTTGTAATTTTTTTTTAAATTTAGAAAATATTCATTGCATCAATCTCTGTGGCTCATATAAAACAATAGCTTCTAAACAGAAACTTAAAAGAGTTTAATTCACTGTCTTCTTAAAGGTTTCGTGCCCTTTAAATTCATATAATCTACATTTCTAGATTCTGGGTCACAATTACCACTACTTCTATTTGAAACCTTCTTTCTCAGAAATTGAAAATTGTAGAATCACTATTGTTAGCACAGGAAACCTTTTCCTTCGCCTCTCTTACTACCTTTTTGGGGCAGTGTGAGGGAGGAACCTGTCTTTCAAATGTGATGGAAGAAATGACCAAACTTCAAGTTTCATTAGAGCTTATGAGAAAGACCTGATGTGAGACAGTGATTATCACTGCTCCAGGTGTAGGTCTCCTTCCGGTGGGTGATGTGGACAGATAAAAACGTGTGCTGCAGACCTCTCCTTTTAAATTCTGTGTGGTCTTCCCATTTGTTCTGCTCCTCTGCAATCAACTATAAGATTCTAATTCCTAGAAAAGATTTCAAGTGTCCATAGATTGAGCAACTATCCATTTCTCAGATAATTCTAGGCAACTGTTATTGGAAAATCTGACACAATAGTTGTAATTCCATTTAGTAGAACTTATTTCAAACATTAGTATAAAATTTCTTCACAGCCCAGTGATTTGACCAGTCCATAGGTTTTGTTTTAAAAGTTGTGTTTCGTAAAGTGGGTTTGTTCAGTTGGGTGCGAGATATAAGGTGAGAGAAGAAGGGGAATGAAAGGGGAAGTAAAGGAGGATTGTTCTAAAGTAAAATTAAGTTGTGAAAGCTGTGTATGTATCCTTTTCTTAGAGAGTCTAATGGGTGTTAGTTTATTAGTACCTGAGGAGTCAGAGGCTAGATAACTTTATTTAACCTAATATTTGTCAGCCTTGTTTAAATAACACCCCATTGCACTGGAAAACTAATATAAGATACTTGAATACATTTAAACCAGCTAGATAAGGTTTACTTCCATTTCTGTGATTGACCTTTTGAATAAGGGATCTTTGGTAGTGGTTTGTGTTTTAAAACAGTGGTCCTCATTCACTCTTTGCTGCACATTGGAAACATCTAGGCGCTAAAAATTTTACCTGGGAATGGAGGTGAGGGCTTCCCAACCCATGAAATTGTGATTTAATTTTTCTGTGGGTATTGCCTGGGGAATTGCTGTTTTTAAAAGTTTGTGGCATTGCCCTAGCTGGTTTGGCTCAGTGGATAGAGTGTCAGCCAGCCTGTGGATTGAAGGGTCCTAGGTTCAATTCCATTCATGGGCACATGCCTGGGTTGTGGGCTTGATCCCCAGTAGGGGACGTGCAAGAGACAGCCAATCAATGATTCTCTATCATCGATGTTTCTCTCTTTCCCTCAGCCTTCCTCTCTGAAATCAATGAAGATATATATACATATACGTGTGTGTGTGTGTGTGTGTGTGTGTGTGTGTATGTATGTATGTTGTGGCATTAAACAGTAAACTCTGGGTTATAGTTTCTCCCACTCACAACTCAATCTCTGCTGTAGAAGAAAAGAATATGACCATCTTTGCTGGGCTCAGCTTTGGGGCTTCTTGAGCAAGGCTTTGAGCTTGATTAGAAGGTTTTTGACTTTTGAAACCTAAAATCCCAAGAAAAAGTCTAATAATTTTGTTTACTGGGTACTAAGACGGGTTGGTTTAGGCCAAGGTTCTTATTTTTCCATCACATGGCTGTGGGTGCTAAAGACCAGAATCTGTATGACAGCAGTCCTGGGATTTTCAGTGAAAATATATGCTAAAACTGTAAGAACATTTCTAGCTATAGTTGCCTGAACATCAGCCAAACCAGGATGTTCCAGAATACAATCTTAAATCTGAAAGTGAGGGGGGGGGGGGGGGGGGGGGAAAGGCCTGAACTCCAGAAATAGCTGACCCAAAAGAACATTAAAATCTAGCCCCGGGCTCTCAAGAAGTTATTAACATACACTTTTTGACAGTTTCCTTTCTGGTTTCTTTGGCTCACAGAAAAATTAGAAGGGAAGTGGGCTGTAGAACATGTAGAGACAGTCAAAGTGATACTAACTAATGAGCTGAAGATGTCAAAAAAGGTCAAAGTGTTTAAAAATGCAGAAAAATGTCAGAATTGCCATTTCTGAAATCCTGTTAAGTACTCTCCCTTCATTTTCTTTAAAAATGCATTCTCCGCCCCTATTGAGATGTCATCTAATAAAAATCTGGGGAGCTTTTTAATGAGGTATGTGACACACAGTCAAACTTCATTCCCCTGGACAAAAGACAAACACGACACGGCCCTTGTCCTCTTTCATCACGTGTTTGTTGGAGCGTCACTGGACTTTGCCCCTCTTTCCTCCGGTTTCATTACTGCCCACAGAGCTGAACTTTGACTTCCAGGGTTTACTTGCTTTGGTTTTAACGTTTCGAAGTATTTTCCATGGAATAGTGTTTGTAGGTCTAGTGTTTTGGGGTGTGTGTGTGTGTGTGTATGTTTAAAAATGTTTATTGACCCTTTTCTGCCTCTTTACACTAGCATGCATACATGATGAATTCCCATGTATAATGGTTACTCCAGCTGATTTCATAGTAGAGCAAAGCAGATAGATTCTGGAGTCAGATAAACCTGAGAGCACAGCAGGCCTGGTCTGGCAGTTTACATCTTGGTTTCTTCCACTGTAGGTATAACAATAACACTTTACCTTTTGGTGAGGTTAACTAACCTAATGTAAGTTGAAACAATGGTAGTTGCCGTTTTGTTATATAAGTTACAGTAGCTGTGTATTTGCTAGATGCTAGTTCTCACCACCACTCCTTTCTCTCTGGGCAGAGTGTACTCTGGAAACCCTTACCCCCGGTATTTTTGTATTTTTGTTTTAGGCGTCTGAAGTGTTACATTTTCTTCAAACTTAGCTGCAACATTTAAAAATCCTGTGATCGCATTTAAAGATATGAATTTCTGTGGGGTTGTTTTCCTCTTAAAATGGGGAAATTGGGTAACATTGGCCTGCAATAATTGCATGGCGAGGCTGCAGGGACCTCCTGGATGGAGGAGGATGTAAGCATTTGTTTACCTCAGTCCTTGCCCAGGCTATCTTCCATTCACCTCCTGGCCCTGCAGGCATTTGAGGCCTCCCTCTGGATAAGCCTGGCTTTAGGGAATGTCCTCCAAGAGGCCAGTGCAGTGACATTTGAGTCTCTTAGGTAGCCTAGGTGTGAAGTCTCAGGCTTCTCTCCTTGTGGACTTGGAGAAGGACATCTAACCAGTGACCAAATTTGAACTTACTTTTAGCGTGCGTGCGTGTGTGTGTGTGTGTGTGTGTGTGATAGTATCTGAATTCGGTTACATAGGGTATCTTGATTGTGTGAGTGATAGTATCTGAATTCGGTTACATAGGGTATCTTGATCGCCAGAGCAGTTTCTTCTAAAATGTGGCAGGTGGAATCTCTTCCCTTTAGACTTGTAAGTGGTAGTGGAGGAAGATGGCTCTGTTCCTCTGTGGTAAACTTGCCCGAGTGCAGAAATTATATTTAGCTTCTGCAATAGGAGTCTGTAAAACTGGGGGGTGGGGGAGGCTTGCAACCCAGAGTCAGGCTTCGGATCTTTGCCAGTGGTTCCATAGGAGTTGCTGAGACCAGGGCAGCATTTAATGTTTGATTTTTTCAGTTAACGTGTTTGTTTTCTTAAACAATTAAATTCGGCTGTAGGGGTAATCAGTGTTGCTACTGATAGACCTGATAGTTGGTGGGGAATCCAAAGTGTCCTCCTAGCCTGCTCAGTTCCCAGCGCATAGTAGGCACTCAGGTTTTGTTGCCTGAAGAAAGGTCAAAAGGGTGAGCAAATTGTCTGCACCATGGCCTGTTTTATACAGCCTGGGAACTAAGAATGTTTTTTACATTTTTAAAGGATAACATTCAAAGATAATTCGACAGAGAGCTGGGTTAACTATGGCTGTTAAAACATGCATCACTGGGCAAACAGGGCCTCTGATCCTTAATCAAATGCCAGAGGTGGTATGTTTGGTACCTGGAACCTAATCTCTTTGATAAGTCCTCCCTGCCCCTTTGTTACTCAGATGTCTGACTTATGAAGATCTTCAAGCACTTAATTTGTTAGTACTTAAAATCAGTTTTTAATAGTGAATTTTCTGGTTTTTTTTCTTTCTTCAGTCTTCCCATTTAAAAGCTAAATTCTTTGTTAGAACTGGAATTATTATGGCGTAGCTTTGGCATGCTTTCTGATTTCAGAGAAAATGAATCAAATCTATTGTTTCAATTAGGATTCTGAAATATCCATGTTACTATACCAAGTCTCCAAGGAATATGCCTCTACTAGTTTGGCATTTACATGGGATGCTTTTATTTGAAGCTTATCTTAGTTTTTAACAGGCTAACATTATTTTCTTATAGTTTGCAGTGTTGATGTGGGTGTTTACCTATGTTGGAGCCTTGTTCAATGGTCTGACACTACTGATTCTGGGTAAGCCTACAAAAGCATTGGAATGAAAAATTGCAGGGGGGGGGAAGTGTGTATAAGGAGTTTATAGATTTTATGGAGAAGATTCTTATATTGTAAAAAAAAATAGAGGTGTGTTTGAGGTTGTGACCTCTTTAAATTGCCGATCCTGTTTATTGAAATGCTACTTTAATTCCTGAAGACTGCTCAACTCACAGTGACAGAGCAGGGTGGCCTTACCTATATTTTATAAAGTTGGTGTGGCATGATTTGTAGCCAGGAGTGGTTCTTGCAGCCCCCTTAGTTAATTCATTGCTCTGGCGTGGCCCTCCCCACTCCCCGCAGGGCCACCCAGGAGCGCCTTGGGATTAGCCATTCATTAGCACCAGGCCTGGCCTGCTTAGGAGCGTCGCTGGTTTCATGGCTTTTCAGTGTGTGTGTCCCCTAAATTGTACCAGTCTGTGCTAAGGGTTGTGCATTTCCTTTTCAGCTTTGATTTCACTCTTCAGCGTTCCTGTTATTTATGAGCGGCATCAGGTAATTTAACTGCAAATTTCAGAATACAGAGCTCACTTTATTATGTGGAACTTATAAATGTATCAGTCATGTATGGGAGGGGGGGTAATGGTATATGTACACAGATAGTAATTTAATAAAAAAAATAAAAATGTATCTGCCAGTTTTCAAAGACTTACACAAGTGAGAAATATGGTGGTTGCTTATGCCTATAATTTGTGGGGTCATAGCAAGTTAATCAAATTCTTTTTTAGCAATGGTCATCTTCTAATATCTCCCTTACCTTCTCTCCAGGCGCAGATAGATCATTATTTAGCACTTGCAAATAAGAATGTCAAAGATGCTATGGCTAAGTAAGTATTTAAAATCTGCAACCTTTTTTTTTTTTTTTTTTTTTTTAACCAAGGTTAAGGTGTACTGGACTTTGAGAACAGTGCAGTAGCAAATCTCAGCAAATCTCAATCAGAACTACAGTGTGACACAATTGCCAAAAGATTTTTTTTAATCAATTTTTTTTAAAATATATTTTTTAACAGAAAGGGAGAGAGAGAGCTAGAAACGTCAATGAGAGAGAAACATCGACCAGCTGCCTCCTGCACATCCCTACCCACCAGGGATGTGCCCGCAACCAATGTACATGCCCTTGACTGGAATCGAACCTGGGAATCTTTCAGTCCGCAGACTGATGCTCTACACTGAGCCAAACTGGCTTGGGTGCCAAAAGATTTTTTATAAATTATCCAACGGTAAATAAATTACCGTTGGGTAATTTATTTCTACATTTATTATTTGTACTTAAGGCTTTTTTTTTTTAAAGTAATTCATAGTAGTAGAAATCATAGCTTGACAACCTGTGGATTTCATTTCTTGTTTAAGCTACTATAACAAGTCATTCTTGAAGGATAGCATTTTAAGAAGCAGAAAACAAAATACTAAAAAATTTTTACATTGAACTTCCTCCCCCCACCCTCCTTTTCATTTGCAGAATCCAAGCAAAAATCCCTGGATTGAAACGCAAAGCTGAATGAAAAAAAAAAGCCTGAAATGATTCACAGTAGGAGTTTATCTTTTAAGGGGATATACATTTGATTACATGGGGGAGGGTCAGGGAAGAATGGCGCCTTGACATTGCAGCGTCACGGATCTTTATTTTTAGCAATGCAGTGTCTGAGGAAAAATCACCCTCTTGACTGCCACGTGCTCATCATCTTAAGTATTGTAAGCTGCTACGTATGGATTTAAACCGTGATCATACTTGTTTTTTTCCTACCCGAGGCACTGGTGAATAACAAAGATCTGAGAAAGCTGTATGTTACGCTTTGTTGCAGGTAGTCTTGCTGTATTTGGGGAATTGCAGAGAACATGAAGCTGAAAAAAAAAAATAACCCTTTTCACAGTTTGTGCACTGTGTGTGTATGGTCTGTGTAGATTGATGCCGATTTTCTGAAACGAAATGTTTAGACGAGATCATACCACTAAAGCAGGAGTGGAAAAGCTTGCCTTCCTGGTATGTTCTAGGTGTATTGTGAATTTTACTGTTATATTAATTGCCAATATAAGTAAAAATAGATTATATATATTATCTATATATAGTGTTTCACAAAGCTTAGACCTTTACCTTCCAGCTTCCCCACCGTGCTTGATATCTCAGAGTCATTGGTTATATGTGGTTATGTAGTTTCAAATACATAAGCAGGAAAAAAAAAATATATTTCTAGGCGCACTACCATCTGTTTTCAACATGAAAGGATGCCATGCACATAGAGCTCACCCTATAAACTTCACCGCACAGACTTACCGTAGTTAATTTTGTCCCACACCCTGAATCTATGGACTGAATCTAATGCTTCCAAAAATGTTGTTTGCAAATATCAAACATTGTTATGCAAGAAATTATAAAATGAAGATTTATACAGTTGTGGTTTAAGCTGTACTGAACTAAATTGTGGAATGCCTTGTGAACTGTAAAAGCAAAGTATCAATAAAGCTTATAGACTTAAAATATGTTCGGTATTTTGGTTTCATGAAACTGTAGCAGATGAGAAGTACACACAAACTTTGGGGAAGAGACTTTGCTCCAGCCGGTGAGGGTTTCAGCTTCTTGTGCAGCTGTGTTTACTTAATCAAATCTGACACACACCAAAATGTCTCAATTCTTTTTATACTTTGATAACATAGAATACAGTGCAGGATTTATGAACATACATAAAATCATACCATATAAATGTTTACTAGAAGTTTTCTTGGTACACAGACACTATTGCTCTGTAAATATAGCTGTACATACCAGCATTTCTATGCAAGATTCAGTCATATGAAAGGTCAGTGGTACAATATAGGCAGACACGGTTATCACTCAGCATCACCAGTCACGTGGTTACAGAAAACAATTAGGACTGCAGAGGGACTCTAACTGGGCCCATCAACCTAATCAGTGGGTTAATGTAAGGCATTAATAAATTGGCATATAAAAATAGCTTAATGAATGACCTAATCCATTTAGAATGCTGAAGCACTTCTGTGGTAAATGTTAATCTAGATAATTGAAAACTGCTTCATTTTGCCTTTTCTCTAGACTGACAACTGCAGCTAGCCAGTAACTTAACATCCAAAATTTAGTTCACTGACCGCAAGGACTCACTGGTATATATGTGCTCGGAGTCACCAGTGTGTGCCGTCATCCCTCCTGCCAGTGCTTGGCTGAGCGTCAAGTATGATTGAGGTGGTTTGGAGCTGTCTTCTGGGTAAGACTGTCCAACTCACACTCTGTTAGCCAGCCCGCTCTGAGGAAGCTAAGCTAGATTATATAATCTTGATTTATCAAATATTGTTTGGGTTTAGGAATTTTATATATATATAAAAATTCAGAAGCAAATCAGTGGTGTCTAGTCAGCTTCAGATCACCTCATTTGTTCCCATTTAACAAGATAAATCAGCTCATCCTCCTGGAAATGGTTGAGCTTGCTTTTTTTTCTTCTAGTATTTTGGATTTTGTAGATTTGGCACTAAACATAATGAACACTCCTCCTACTCCCTCCCGCCTGAATTTCTTTCCTTTTTTTGCTCACCTTCCTATAGCCACTAGTTCCCAAGCTGATGCCCTTCCTTTGAGAAGCCTGGACATATAAACAGGCGACATGGGTGACAGACCAGGAAACTCCTAAGTAGCCCTCCTCAGTTTGGAAGTGTTAGCACCTGATGTACAATAGAAAGGAGATCATTTGTGGGAGGTGAGACAGCAGCCCACACAACTGGAAACTTTCAAAGGCACTTAATGGATAGAAAACTCTGCAAACGAAATGTTTTTAAAAAATTAAGTTTCTCAACTTGTTTATACATGGCTCATTTGGTTTTGAAAGCTAAATGGGGAGAACAGAGGCTACCGATAGTTCTAGGACGTCAGTCCATCTACCTGGAGCTGTCTTATTCAACTTATTTGTTAAAAAAACGAACAACTTTTAAAGAATATAGGAACATAATAGCAAAATGCCTTTTGCAAAAGTTCTGATGCAAATTAAAAGCTACATATTGGTTAGGGTAACTGAGGCTTTCCATTTTGTCCGCGGGCTACACTGTCAGATAGGATGCTTTGTCAGTGTTAGTACAGAAGAGTTTTTAGTCTCAGGAACAGAGGCAAGCAGTCTTAGCATGTTAGAACTGACCTTCCTTCTCGGCATCTCGGCTTTGGAGGCCCCGTGTGCAGTCTTACCACGTGTGAGCGCCGGCCAGGTGGGAGGCGTGGTCCAGCCTCCGAGCTGCCTCTGCAGGCGCCGGGCAGGAACAGCAGCAAGAAAGGGAGCGGTTTCAGGCCTTCACAGACATCGCCACACAAAGATACTGAAAAGGCAGAGCAAACAGCCGGTTGTGCCTGGTGGACATCACATCCTGCTGTACCAAGTGACAAAAACCACCTTGCCAGGTGATGCAGAGCCTGTCGCTTTGGCAACAGAAACTGTGAACCTGGGATCTTGCCACCAATGAAAGATCACCATTTTTTAAAATTCATTATTATTATTAAAGGTTTTTTTTTTTTTTTCCCTCCTGGCTCGCTCAGCAGCCAGAGTGCGCTGAACGGGAGGACTTTTGGCAATCTGACTTCACAGTATCTCCCTTGTTACTGCTGAAAAGGCCTTATCAGCTCCACTTGAGTAGGAGAGCCCTTGTAGTGTTCAGCGTGGAGCCAGGATCACAGCATTCCTCCCTCCTCCCTCCCCCCTCCCCCCAGTTACCGAGGCCTCCGGCCTTTCACAGCAATCCAAAGTCACTCACACCTCTGCACCACCTCCTGCACTGGGGGCCCATTCTCTCCCGTCTCCCATTGCTGGCCTGCGTACAGGTTGGCCACGGCTGCTTGGTGCCACTTTGAATGGGTGTTTACACTCCCCCAGAGCTGCTCTCAGGTCTCTCTCAAGGGCTCTATGTGCTGGCAGCAGTTGGCACAGCAGATGGGAAGTGGGTGCCCCCAGGCGGGTCCTCAGCTTCCTTGGGGGGCATTTTCATTGTCCACAGCCTCTCTCAGACCACTTAGAAAACACCTGGAATGCATGCATTTATTGACACCCCCCCCCCCCCCCCCCCCCCCACCGTCCAGCCCCTAAAGAGTTTTGCCCAACATCGATGACTGATGATGAGCTCGCCCTGGCCCTCCCCACGCCAGACGGGCGCTGGCCTTAGTGGAGGGACAGAAGGTGCCATCTCTAGAGCAGGCTGGCTAGGGGTGCTCCCGAAAACACTGGAAGCCCGGTCACACCTCACAGAACAGGATGCCATTTTACACAAAGCAGCCGTGAAGGTCAAAAGCAGCCCTGGCTCAAGGTCGTCCTGACAGCCGGGGGCGGTTCTGCTGCGCACACCCAGGAGGCAGGGGTGAGAGTGGGTGCCAGGCTGGGCTCTGAGCCCGGCGAGCCAGGTGGCGGCGGGCACCTACCTGCAGTCGTCTCCTCCGGTGCTGACCACGTACTTGTCATCGTGGGAGAAGCGGATGTTCGTCACGTGGGCCGAGTGACCAAAGTAACGCTTGTGTTTGGCCTATGAGCAAAAAAAAAAATAAAAAAATATCTGATGAACAA